GTGCTTCTGGCCTAGTATATAGCACCAGTTGAACTTCTCGTCGCCCGAACTATTCTTACATCTCTGGTACTCTGGGCAGATGTGCGTACGGAGAAGTTGTCTGTGCATACCCTCCTTCCGACGCTCGACGTTTGCAGGATCGTTAGCCTCACGATCGATCGCCTCTTGCATGCCGGCTGAAACGCCTGCTCGGCCACCTTTTCGAGGCGTTCGTACGCCAGTCACTATACCACCAGAGATTGGTACGGCGCTGTATTGCCACTTGACGGTGAGGTGGACTTCACCCCTCTCTTCAGCTTGTTCAAGAGAGGGGACAATATCAACCCATGGAATACTTGGCCAAGTGACCCCTCCAGTAGACGGATAGACCCGAGTGAAGATTGGTGTTGGTTTAGATGCGTTGGTGGGCTTCCTCCAAGCAACGACAACAGCGATATTGGCCTTCTTCACAATATACGAGTGAGCCACTTCTGCCTCAAGTTGGGCGCCGCTGTCTGCCTCCCAGTCTCTACTATTCGCATCTAATACAGGAGCAATACTGAATCTGTTATACGCGATGCTCTCGATGGTTAGATCGAGAACAGGTAAACCGTTACCCTTGAGCGCTGGGCCACGGGTAACCTGGATTTGTAGCAGAGTTGGTTCCTCGTTACCCATATCGTCCTCCTCTTCAAATACATCGTGGAACGACATAAACGTATCATCAGCGCTATGGCGAGGGGCCGTAGGCGTATCGTCCGCAAATCGAGTGGTTTGACGAGGGGTTGGGTTAACTGGGGTCGAGTCTGGTCGAAACGGTGGCATCGACGAAGGCAGAGTACTTCGGAGCCGGATCGTATGCGGCGGATCCTTCTTTCGCTTCCTCTGCGTTGTCGTTGCTTTTTGGCGAGAGGACGCTTTTGGAGCTCTTCGTGATGACGGAGGGGCTATAAGTACACGCTTTCTTCGCGATGTAGACTCAGCCGCCACCAAATCATTAGTCTCGGGTCCAGCCTCGGCGACGATAACCTCCTCGGCGGCCTCCTCGGCGGCCTCTTCGGCGGCGGCAGCCCGGCGAGCCCTCTCGGCGGGCGTAACGATCCTGATCGACGGCGAGGCAGAGCGTTGAGGAGGATCTCTGGCGGCGTCCTGTGCCAGTTGTTGTATACGTCGTTGTTTCCGCGTACCGTTGGCGATGGGTGACGGACGATGCCCAGAAGGGTCATCATCCGCCTGCCGAGCCGCGCGGCGGCGTTTAGGAGGCATCACGATGCCCTCAGATAATGAGATTCAATAGAAATAGATCAATTGAAGCCATCAGAATAGGTCAATTGCCGTACTACGAATATCTACGTGGCGTTGGGCAAATTTTCATGTATATACAGGGATTATGCGTGCGTAATTTCGGCAAAAAGGGGGGGCGGACGCTGTCAACGCAACGGAGTGTAAGGGATGACAGAAATTGCCTCCCGCGAGCTGTTATCCCAGACCCTCAATTTCGACGATCTTCACAAATGCCACCTACCCGTGGGTTTGAGAACACCACCCCCTCCCTCCTCCCCAAAGAAACTCATGAGCGTCTTTGGCCATTCAGTCTTCTTACTTGGACCCGAATTCTTTGAGCGACTGAGCGAAACTTCTAAATCATTATTTTCACCATCATTTCACTAAGATTTTGAAGATGAAGCCCCAGACCTCATCCAAGTACCAGGAGCTTCACGGCGAGCAAGAGATGTCTGACTTCCAACCGGAGCCGAGAACGTCTTTTGAGTCCTCGGAAACCCCATTCCTTGGCTTGCAGGACGTAGACTCGCTGGAGCGTAGCTCTGCTTCTGTGACAACAGTTTGGAAGACAGCGGTGCGGACAATTCTTGTTCTCCTTCTTTCGATTAGCTGTTTCATTGCCGGATACTTGTCCCGCCCGGGCTCTTTGGACGAAGAAGCATGTCTTGACACTGCTTGGGGTAAGTCCAGAGAGTGAAAACGACACATGCAACAGCTAATAGATTTTGCTCTTGTCAGACGAGGTGCGCGGCGCCATGTCTTTCAAGACTGTCGAATTCAATCCCAGATTTACTGGGCCGCCATCCCCTTATATGGGCCCCCCAACACCTGAAGTCGACCGGCTTTGGTATGATCTCTCTGAGCGTATGCAGACATCCTCCGGCTAGAATAGTTCCGAAAAGCTACTTGTGCTGACGCTACTTCAAGTCCGTAACTTTGGCGTTGATCGAGATACGCTGGCGAAGATGAACCGAACCAAGGGTGCTGTTGAGTTTCCAGGGACGAAACGTTTTCAAGTCGGCATGGAAGCATTTCATCAGCTCCACTGCTTGGTAAGTATTCAGTTCAGCGCATGAAGCTGAGAGGCTGCTTATTGTCTTCTTCAGAATTATCTTCGGATGTACTCATATCGAGATCACTATGAGAAGGTGGATTTTGATATGATCGCAGAGACGCCAGAAGAGCGACGAGATCACAAGGATCATTGCGTTGAAGTTCTGCGACAAAAGTTGATGTGCAATCCTGTTCGTGACAAAAATCTTTAACCCTAAGCTTATGAAGGTCAAGGTATTGAAAAAGAAACACTGACACATCACAGGATCTAAATGTATATTCGTACCACTGGGTCAACAGACATGAGGTCCCTTGGGGTAACCTTTACACGAGCCATAGATGCGTAGACTGGAACAGGTTCTATAAATGGTCTCAGGAAAACATTGATGGCTCAACACCGCTGTCAAAGCCTGATAACTCTGAGGTATGGGACTAGGAGATGCGTGAAAGTAGACCCGCCATTGGTAGATATGTGAGGATCGCCACGCCTGCTCGTTTGAACCACAGTCAGGAAGATTGTATTCAGACCTCAAACGGCTGTAAAGTAAATTCAGTACCTCCAACACGAATTTAGTGAACAAATGCAGTAATCTATGCTACGAGGGCATTCCCTTACTTCCTCGTTCAAGAATGTTGACCCTCATAAAATACTACGTCTGAATTTCTCGGGGTCTACTACGGTCCCGTGATAATTTTGCACTCAGAAGCCGCGCGAAATCTCAAGCGTAGAAAAGAAATAAGAATAAAAACCAAAAGGTCTCTGAACCCCCGTGGTCGTTTGGCACAAATGACGGACTGGGTGACTTCGACCCTGACCCTAGTATGCAGCCTTTTCTGGCAGCTTCCCTCCAACAGCTAATAAGTTACGTATACATGATGACAAAAGCCTTATGGTGTTGGTGCATGGATGGATCGGGTAAGGTTCCTGCGGTTGCTGTCTTGCTGTCTTGCTGTCTTGCATCGCATAAACAGGGATGTGATACGAAGTCAAAGGGAAAGTATTGGCTAGTGAACGACAGAACTTACGTTTCCCCTCCCACAGCCAGCACGTTCGTTATATCATTAGCTTTAAAATGGTTGGTAATCTGAAATGGCCAAGCAGGGCCCAAACAAGTATCAGTGCCTGATCAGGCCAAGTAACGTGCGGGCGTAAAGTTCGGAGCAAGCTCGCATGTAGTCCTAAGTCGCACAGGGAACCGAAGAGGTTGCTCAAACAGATATCGGACGCAATGGCGTGATGAGGCACTGCGCAGCGCATATAAATAGCCAGTCGTGTCTTTGCTTTGCTCCAGCAGCCTCTGGATTATCGATAACATCACTGGAAAGTGTCTTACTCGAGCATTGTCTGCTTTTCATCCACCTCCCGCTTGCCACATAGAAATCATTCATAACTCCCAAGCTCCTCCTCCACTGCATCATGAAGCTCAGCACGTCTCTTGCAGTCGCCATCCTGGCGTACACTGGCCTAGCTGCCCCAGTCTCTAAGGTATTTGATCCTTTTCCGCGAGACGTCCCTTGAGAACGAGACACAAGACACTAAGACTCGTATTCGATCTAGGACCTGAAGATAGTTGCTGGTAATGACAACAACGTCGATGCTGCTGCTACTCGCACCGGCTGGTACTACATCAAGGCACGTGATGGAGGTTCCACTGAAGGCAATGGGAACAATGTGGATGCCGCCGCGACTAGGACTGGATGGTACTACATAAAGGACAGGCGTGATGGCGTCGCAGAAATCGAGAGCTCCGACAACAACGTGGACGCCGCTGCCACTCGGACCGGCTGGTATTATATCAAGGACAAGCGCGGTGGCGGCGCTGTCACGGAGGCCCCGGATAACAATGTTGACGCTGCGGCGACTCGCACTGGGTGGTACTACATTAAGAACCGCGAGGCTGACGGCGAAGCCATTGAGGAGACCAAATAAACAGGTCTTCCTGGTCTTCGGATGCCGCGTGCAATCGTGCCTGAAAGCGCTTGAGGAGAGATAGGAGCATTGTGATTGGCCAGGTCGTTCTGAAGCTGGACGAAGAGGTCTTGCATAGCACAATTTTCTCCGTAATAATACGTATAGAATCTGTCTCATCAATCTGAGATCGCTTTCACTATTTCATGACAATGCGCCAGTTCAGTGGCCGCGTTCATAAAAATTCCACACGCTACGACGCTCCCCAGAAAATTAAAATGGGAAATTCGGATAGATCGGCGCCTAATTGCCCTTCACTGGCCTATTCTTGTCCAGCGTTTTCTTGTGCCAACATGAAGTTACAGGCAAAGTGGCGCCGATTGATGCAAGGGACTTTAGGAGCTTTGAACAACGGGCGACCAGCGTCTGGGTCTTCTTGGTCGCCGGGGTCAATCTGCGCTAATGGCACGATGGCGGGGATGATCTTTAGTTCCCCACCGGTATCATACGTCAACGGGATCTTTAGTGCTACTTGCCCCTTTAGGCAAGTGTTTGACAAATAAGCCCACGGATGTAAATTAATCATCCCGTTATCAAAACTTTGATCGGAAGTCACTCTGCGCCATGAAGTACATCGGGCTGGAGATACCCAACACCGTGAAGCCTATAAGTAGACATTGACTGCCATGAAAGAGACACAAACTACCAACCTCCTATACAATATCTGACGTCGATTTGCCTCTACATTGTTTTCTGCTCTTAATACGACCTGATCATGAGTGTCAACCAAGAAGGATACGAGCTCCGACTTCAAGTTGTGCAACAAATTCTTGCACAATTTGGCTTGAAGGTAAGCCTTTCCCATGATTGGTGTCGTCTCTTGACTAAAACCATCGTCGATACTTCTAGTCTACAAAAGTCACTCCGGTCGCCTACGTCGAGCATAGCCCATTCCATTTCAATAACTTCATCTACAAGATCGACCTGGCTCAGCCGGCATTCCCCAATTCTTTCCCTGGAAAACAGCCAGGAACGTCGGCTGCCCCTGCAGAAGGCATCGCCACTTTAGCAGTTCGCCTGAGTAACGCACGCGCCGAAGGCTTGAACAACACAAACAGAGTGGAGAACGAAGTGGGTGCACAATACCTGGCTCGGAAGTCCCTTGAAGCTGCCGGCCTAGCTCCTGTTGTTCCTGCCGTGTATGCGTGGTCACCTTGCCGATACCTCGAGGTTCCTAATGAAAACGGGTTTGGATGGTTTGTGAGCGAGTTCAAAGACGGCGAAGACTTGGACAGCCACTTTTCCTCCCTTTCAATTGCCAACAAGAAGGAAGTGATTGGGCAGATTGCCGACTTGTTCGCCGCCATTCAACGTGCTCAAATTCCAGAGGGAGTGACTGGCTTTGGCGCTCTTACGTTTGACGCCCATGGCAATTTGGTCAGCGGCGAAATGCCGTTATTGACCGGAGGGCCATGGCAGTCGTACGCTGAGGCGTGGAAACAAAGGTTGCAGTCTGAACTCCGGAACGCTGAGAAAAGTCAGCTCCTCCGAGGATGGGAAGATGAAGGCCTCAGGAAAGAACTAGATCAGTTCTTGGAGAGTAGGGGCGTCGAGAAGTTGCTCACTGGAGTGGATATCAACCAAAGGACGCTGGTTCACGGTGACTTCAGTACGTCCCAATCTTCTTCCTATGGCTAACTTGCCAATTGACTGACATGCCTAGCCATGAACAATATGCTTTTCGACAGCACTACCAAACGTGTAACCTCAGTGTTGGACTTTGACTGGTCGTGCGTGACGCATCCTGGTGAAGAATTCTTCTCCGGGCTGTGGGATTTAGGTGGAGGCTTTGATGATAGAACGGAAGACATCCAAGGCTCGATTCTGACTGGGAATTTTGACACCACCCATGAATTCGCATCTGGGCAAGATGCTGAGAAGTGGGAAGTGGCAAAGGCCTGGAATGAAGCTGCTTCTCGACGAGGGATCTTGAGGCCGAGTTCTATTCGAGGAATGGAGAATCTTCTGGCTCTGAAGGATCTAGAAGGTATGCTATGTCCATTCGCGTTGAGTAATGAACACATGCTCCGGCGAGCTTCAGAGCTGGATAAGTGTCAGCAGAAGGAGGACCTAGAAGAAAAGATCCGTGCGTGGCTAAAGGTGCATCAAATTTAAGATTTTAGAGTTGTAGTGCATTATTACGAATACATAAGGTGTTGTGTTAATTTAACAGGCTGGTTGATATAACTAGAAATAATGTAAAGTAGAAGCTTTAATAGTAATAAATCTAGCATTATTAGCTCCTATTATAGCCTCTAGCTAGCTATTATGAATTTTACTTAGAATCTATATTACAACTATAAAGTTCAGCCTTGATTCTGGTTCCCCGTATGGTCTAGCACGGATTTCCCCGGATTAGAACCGTGGTCGGCCGTGCCACCCTCCAGAAAAGATCTTTGGCGACAAGATACGTGTCGTATCAATTGGAATTCGGATTTCATACACCTTACAACCAGGTCAATTGACCCATGTAAGGTGGGTTCGCCTCTGGACTGGTTACACACTGTCAATAATCTTGTTGTCCCAATGGCATTCCCTCTTCCGCTGGAAACTCTTCCGGGCATCTCAGAAGAAGGAGACCCATGGGTCCGGGAATTGAAAGAAAGATTTGTAAAGCTGAACGTTATAAAGTCCACGTTTTAGCTTGCAAGGTCCCCATCTCCACATCTATTGCTGCGGCCAAACCCGGTCGCACTATTCACTTTGATGGACAATTGGATAAGGCTTCTGTATTGAACACATACATCGTGGCCGCAAGGGACTTCTCGGGCAGATCTGGGCTTAAGATCAACCGGGGCCTAGATTATCAAGAGGCAAGGCTGGCATCATGCCTGCCGCTAAAATAAAAGGGCAATGAGTATCAACATTGGGCCGGTCAGAATCATAAACTAATTCCATGCATCTTGCTCTGGCAATGTCTGGTATTTCAATTAAATAGAACGAATAAACGGAAACATCCCCATGTGGTATGATATCACGAACCACCGAGATTGTACTAGAATAAAAATATATCGTTGTGAAGCTTAATGACCCTGCATCCAATGAGGATTAGGCGAGTAAGCCATTCACATCAAGAATGCAACTCAAATTTCACCAAGTTGGTTAGTTAACTACTAAGATTCGGTCTTTTCGTCTTCCGTCCTCTTGCGTGCAGCGTCCTTCAAATCCTTGTCGTCAGGTCGGCTCAACTCTACTTGTGGCATCAGGAAGAATGCAACAAAAAATGCCACTGAAGCAAGCCCAGCCATGGCGAGGAATATGATGCGGAATGCTTTTCGATAACCTGGCAGAAGGACAGCTCTTGCCTGATCTGCGTCGGCTTGAGACATTTCTGACAGGACATGCTGGGGATTGGCAAGAAGTCTTCTGGCTTCATCATCTGCCAGACCAAGACCAGCGATGCTTGCTGACAAGATATTGTTACTAATTAGTTTCATTAGCCATCAGGTAAGCAAGAAGAGAGCCATCAGAATAGAGATACTTACATGAGTGTACCCGAGATTGCCAAACCAATCGTGCTTCCAAGGTTTCTGATAAAACTAAAAACAATGTGAGTATGCAACAGCATGCGATTCATAACGCATCATGACTTACTTGCGGAACGAGGTTACTACGGCCATGTCTCTGCGGCTAACGCCTGCTTGGATCGCAATCAAGGCGCTGTCGGAAATTTCAGCGAAGCCCAGGGTACGACACATCGGAAAAGACTTACGGCTGAAGAGTATTGCCAACACCAGCTCCAATGAGTAAGGAGTACCCTACTTGTTTGCCAACACTGGAGTTTTCATCCAGGGTAGACATCAGACCGACGCCTACAGCCCACATTACCCAACCGAGGAGAATGCATTCCCTGTATCGACCGATCTTATGAACAACGAGACCAGACAATGTGCTGAATAAGGTCTGTGTCAGAGTGACGGGAAGCAACATAGCGCCGGCTTTGGTTGCTGAGTAGTTGTACGCCAGTTGATAGAAGGCTGGGATGTAGTAGACCTGCACAACGAAGTTCCAGCCGTTGATAGCCATGGTAATACAGGCGCCGTTGACGATCTTAGACTTGAAAATATGCACTAAAGCTAGTCAGCGAAGATATTTCACGACGAAGGACAGTCACCTACAAGGAACGAGTGGGAACTTGGCCCCCTTCCACTGCCACATCACAAAAGCAACGCAGACGACGAAGCCAACAACAATTGTGGCTATGACATGCGCCGAGTTCCATGGGTACTCGCCGCCACCCCATGTCAGACCAAGCATCAGAACTGAAGTGCCAGCCAAAGCTAAGCCACTGCCGACGAAGTCCACTGCCTTGAGCTTCCTGGATTCGCACGGACGTGAGCGACCCTTCACAACAATGGACAAAAGGAAGGGTGACGCAATGAAGAACTCACATTTTCCAATCTCCTTCCACCTTTCTCAGTGGCATAAAGAAGATGACACAAACAGTGCACAGTAGGGTCAGAGGCATGTTGAGACGGAAGATCCATCTCCAGGAGTCTCGTGACTGCGAAGCTAAAGCACCGCCAATAACAGGACCAATACCGTTGGCAATCGCCACAACTGCTCCCTGGAGAGGTTGTTAGCAAGGAAGAATATCTACGCGTAGGTTTTGTTGCTTACCAGAATTCCCTGATACTTTCCTCGTTCTCTCAGGGGAACTACGTCACTGACAATCATCTGTGCCACAGTCATGAGCCCACCGCCACCAATACCGGTCCATGCTCGAAATACGATGAGCTGGGTACCGGTCGCTGCAACGGAAGAGGCTAGAGATCCAGTGAAGAATATCGCAAGACCAATCAAAAGGATAAATTTGCGAGACCAAATGTCAGACAACCGACCATACAGCAGTTGACCTGTAGTCGATGTTCTAACCTTGGAATTAGCGGTTGATGACGCCTTCGTAAGATCGAAACCCACATGAAATAGCCACTTGCAATCCAAGCGGTCTGGTTGCTAGAGTTGAGAGCATTGCCGATGATGTTCAAACTGGCGGCCAATGTCGTCTGGTCCATGAGGGCCACCAGATCAACGGTGGCACAAGCCAGGAAGATCTAAGCGTCGCAAAGCCATCAGCATAGTTCTCGAGTATTCTCTGCAATCAACTTACCGTAATGATTGTTCTTGGCCGCACATAATTCGTCTGCTCATTGAAGACATGAACGGTGCTCTTCTCTTCGTCAGACTGATTCAGCGTCTTGCTGCCATTGTCCGAGTTGGATTGTTCCATCGCCGAATTCCTCGGGTCGTCTGAAGCGAGGACTCCGCTCGGCTGTTCTTCCTTCATGATGAGGGATATTTTTGGCGACAAACTTGGAAGCTGATCATTCAAAGCATGAGCCGAAGAATATTTCGCATGCAGCGGCTGGAATCAAAGCAAAAGAGCACAGGAAATTGAAGTAGGAAAACACGGCCGGGATCGGTGCCAAACATCGGAGACCGAACGCTGGCCATCCGGGTAATCGGCCAAATAAGCATTCTCGCTACTGCTTGACGTTCTAGGGCCATTGAGAGGACAGAGACCCTTGTTTCCTGCCCTTAGACTGCCGGCCGCCAAGTCTGAACTATTGTTGAATCCTACGATCGTCATCGCGGTAAGTGGAGGCAACCCCCGGTCTAGAGGGTCTGATGCGCTGGGCAATTGACAGGGATTAGGACGGAAACAAGAACCCTTGCGGGTTGCTCCCGTGAAACAAGCTCAACTGGGGAACCTCCCGAAAAACCAGCTCAAACTCTCTCTCTTAGAGCGTTCAACTACAGGGCTTTCATATAACATCGTCGAATCAGCCGACTCCAAAAATGCCCCCCGCGGCTACGCGGCATCTTTGCGATAATTTGCGTCTGAAGCTATGAATTGCGCACGACACTCGACGTTGCAACCTTCTCATAATAGATCACCAGGAAAAAATTAGCGACGCGGCCCCCCCTGGCTGACCGACATGAGCGTTGCATGGTGCCATCGAGACGCCGCAGGCTCGCAGCCGACCTTGATGAGTGCTGCGTCGATCAATCCTCTTCAACGCCGCGTTTCGTGATGTCGACATGCTTAAAGCTCGGTGTTAGTTTCGGGATCACAAGCCAATCATGCTCAGAATGGACGCAAACCCCAGGCCCTAAAGAAGGACGGAGAAGCCCGCCCAAATACTAGCGCAAGTAATCGGTTCTCCAGCCTGCCGTAACGGGCGTCATTTGACACGTTTCGAGACTCCATCGTCAGAGTTATGTCGATTTCACGCATGTTTATCCCATGTCAAAGTGAGAACATTTACGGCAAATGTAACCCCACGGAGGGGTTTCCCCGATTCTCTTGTTCATCCGGTGTCGATGTGACTTCAGCTCGTGCGTCAGCCTACTTTGTGCGCCCTAGTGCGTACCAAGAATGCTGAATCTCTGCAGCAGTTGATCTTGCAGGTATAAATCTCCTTGTGCCAGACTTTCGTTATCAGATTCCTTCAACCAGATACCCGGGCAGGATCAATAACTTTATTCTTACTACTCCAAACGACTTGAGAGTAGGTCTTTAATCATGGCAGAGGTCAACCATCTTAACGTTTATAAAGGTCCTGACGCCGTCAAGGACTATTTCAACCCGGATATTGCTCCTCCTCTACCCCTTGTCGAGATCCCCGATTGTCTCAACCCATACCGCAACGATGGAGTCCGAATTTACGCCAAGATGATGTCGATGCATCCCGCCAACAACGTCAAGGCTATGCCAGCACTGAACCTGCTCCAGAATGGTGTTGTGCCTGGCAAGACCGAGACGGTGGTTGAGTATAGTTCCGGATCGACGGTCATCTCGATGTCATTGATTTCAAGAGTCTACTACGGAAACTCGGATGTTAGAGCATACCTCAGCAACAAGACAAGCCAGGCGAAACTGAGGTTGATGCAATTCTTCGGACTGGATATGTAAGTCACAAACCGCTTTCCCTTAATTACGCACTTCCAGGGATCACCACAGACCAGCTTAGCTAACTCGGTGCCTTTCCCAGTACTTTGTTCGGCGGCCCATCACAACCCGAACCTGCAGACCCCAGAGGCGGTATTC